TAGCCGGAAGAGGGGTGAATAATTAGATTAGAAGTATCGAGGATATACAGAATTTGGAAATACCTAATTGTTTGAAGAAGGAACTAAGCGAATGTTATATAGAGGACGTACTGTAAAGTAAAGAAAAGATCAGCTTCGCGGAAGAGTTCGTGCGAGAGGCGAGCGAGGCGCGATTCGACGAGCCTTTCTCGAATGTCGGAGCCGATGGCTATTTGCTTTATCGCAATTGGAAACGGCGATACGGAGTTCCAAAATTTTCGTGGGAGGTGAATCACGTCGTGCATTGCTTCTATACATTCGGTTGCCAATTCGAGATTCGGTTGCCGATTCGAGATATTTCGAGATTTCGAGGAAGATGTGAGATATTGCGTGGAATGCGCGCATAGATCGAGCTTCTTGAGAAGCGTATCGATTCATATGAAAGTATAGCGAGATAGCGAGAGAGTGCCCGCCTGCGATCTTATCGACGAAGTCTTCGACGTGTCGAATAATTGGTGCGACGGCTGCGCGACGAGAGCTTTGTTCTATATCGAGGGTTACGACGAGGAAGAGACGTGGTTTATCAATAAAAGATCTTGGCTTTCGTTAAACGACGAGTGATGAATCGAGAAACGATGGAGGAGCGCGATCTTCTTAATAGCGCGCGGGATGTCTCGACGGTGGACGCGTATCGCGCGTGGGCGAGACGGTGCGACGAATGTCTCGAGTTTCTGCGGGAGGGGTCTCGAGGCGAGCGCCGGGGGAGATCCACCGGAGCGATCAATTCTCTGATCGCTCGAACCGTTCGATTGACGGGCGCGAGAGACGATCTGCGTCGACGTTTCGAACGCGTCGGAGGCGGCGTAGAGAGGCGCAAAGGATTCTCATGGTTTGAGATAGAGACAGCTTTCTCTAGACGCATTTTAACCGGCGCGGTTATCAACTTCGATTATATCGAACCTTCGCGATTTCTCGAAGATGCTAGAGATACCGTGCTCGATAGAGTACGCAATGCTATAGATGAATATAACAGTGTTAAGGTTAATACCGTGTTTATCGGTGAGTTCGTCTCAGGCGACAAGATTGATATTAAGACTATCGCTACGAAGAATTATCCGCTTCTACCTCTTTCCGATTTGCAAGAGTGGTATGGGAAGCGTGTGGTCGACGCTACTTTAGCTTCGCTGGAGGAGTTTCAAGAGCGCGATAGCGGATGGGCGTTATCGCGAATTCTAAATTTAACGGTGAATGTGAATAAATATAATCCTATGCACGCTGGATGTCACGTCCAGATACCGCGAGAGATCGCGTTGAAGAAAGCGGTGATTAACGTGCAATCTACGGACAACGCGTGTTTCGCGTGGACGGTAATCGCCGCTTTATATCCGGTTGAGAAAAACACGGAAAGAATCTCGCGGTATCCTCACTACTCGACGGTGCTGAATCTGGAGGGTATCGAGTTTCCCATGAGTTTAAATGGAATTACTAGATTCGAGCGTATTAACAACATATCTATTAATGTGTATACCGTTCGAGATAAGAAGGACGGGAAAAGTAGCTGCCGTATCGTTCCTCTGCGTCTCACTTGTAATAAGAAGGACAGACACATTAATCTGCTGTATCTGAGCGATACGA